GTACGCCACGGCATCAGGACGAGCCTGCGGCTTAATCTAAAGCAGCCATCTGTTCCTGGGCAGGAGGAATGTACTGAGAAAAATCAGGTGTCTCCTAATGGTCTCCTCAATGGTGCCTTTTTCTTTTTTTGGTACAAAATCGTGGTTTTATTAAAGCACGGGGACAGGGCCCATGGGCAGAAAGAGCTGCCGACCAATGGTGCCTTCTTGAGAGTTTTCAAACATCAGATTTCATCAGTTCTAAGGTGCACCTATTTTATCTTTTTTTTTTTTAAGATTTTTATTTGGAAGTAATCTCGACACCTAACATGGGGCTCAAACTCACAACCCCAAGATCAAGAGTCACATGTTCTGCCAACTGAGCCAGTCAGGTGCCCTATTTTTTTTTTTTTTTTTAAGATTTATTTATTTGAGGGGGAGGCAGAGGGAGGGGCAAAGGAAGAGGAAGAGAATCTCAAGCAGACTCCTGGCTCAGCGTGGAGCCCAACTCAGGGCTCAAATCTCACGACCCTCATCATGACCTGACCTGAAACCAACAGTCGGGTGCTTAACCAACTGAGCCACCCAGGTGCCCCCCATTTTTTCAATTTAAACAATCAGTGTGAATTATGCAATTGACTACATGTCCTAATAGGTAACTTTTTTTCTTTTTTAGTGATGCATAACATAATGGTGCTTCTTACAACCACTCCGTCTTCGAGTCAATGAAATGTGGTAGTTGTGATCATCGACAATGCTTGCCTAATGGGGTGCCTTTAGAACCTAGCTCGCAAGAACCAACTCCGTGGTATGATCTTTCTATACTAAAAAATAAAGCCATCTCACCCTATTGGGGAAAAAACAACCTCCCTCCCGCCCACCGCCATGCAAAATCCTATAGCATGAGGGGCTCGAAGCTGGGCCGTCTGCTCTGGCTAATCCCGGTCAGGCTGCCCCCCCGCCCCCCCGCCCCGGCCCCGTCCCATACACACCTGGGCTCCTTCTGCAATGGCCTCTGCTGTCCACCCGTGGACAGGCACAAAGCCCAGGGCTGCCGTCAGGATGCGGTGCTGCAGCTGCTCCTCACTCTCGTGGCCCTCCTCCTCCTCACCGCCCTGATCTGTGTACCTGAGACCCGCATGGAACAGAGACGTGGCGACAGAGCGCAGCACACCTCCTCTCACTGCTGCTGCCTGACAGGCCAAAGGTGCCTGACCAGAATGCGGAGGCTCGGTGCCTCCGACCAGCACATGCTGGGAAGGCATTTACTTTTGCGCCAGTATTGCTATTTCCACGCCGACGGGGCAAAAATGATGTCATCTTTCTCCTCTCATACAGTCACTGAGAGAAGGGATCCAGTGAGCGAGGAGGCCACATCATGGGAAGGCAAATGCTCCCATAGCACTCTGGATCTCCCCGTTTATAGCCCTTAGCACACCCTTTCTTTATCTGTATTTGTATCAAATGATAACTACAGGGCCTGGCACAAAGTAGATCCTAAAAACATATTTGCTGAATTGAAATGAAAAGTATTTTAATCAGGACACCAGAAAAATGACAGGAACACCCTAATTTCAGAGCTAGAGGAACTTCTCAGTGGCAGGATTAAGGGGAAAAAAACATATAACGGAAATGTAAACTATTATCGCCTTCCTAGACAGCAGTTTGGCCCCCCATATGTAACAAAATGCTAAATGTGCACATCCTTTGATTCAGTGCTCTCAATGCTGAGACAATCCCATTATTTTTTTTTTAACCAGTGAAGGAAATCTAAATATTCATCAATAAAAGATAGGTTAAATATATTTTAATACTGCCAAATTTTAGGGGCGCCTGGGGGGCTCAGTCGTTAAGCGGCCGCCTTCGGCTCAGGTCATGATCCCAGGCTCCTGGGATCGAGCCCCGCATCGGGCTCCCTGCTCCGTGGGAAGCCTGCTTCTCCCTCTCCCACTCCCCCTGCTTGTGTTCCTGCTCTCGCTATCTCTGTCAAATAAATAAATAAAATCTTAAAAAAAAAATACTGCCAAATTTTAATACTGCCATTCTGCTGGAATATTATGCAACCATTACAATCACACAGACTGAGAAAACATTAAAAATGTATTGTTGAGTGAAAAAGTAGGTTCTGGAATGTCATGTATAGTGCCATTATGATATATAGATGTATACATGGAATATACTTAGGAAAACATCTAAAAGGATAGTCACAAAATGTTGCAGTTATTTCTGGGTTTGTGATTCCTGGTCATTTCTGTTTTATTTTTCTGAACTTCTTTGTATTGTTTAGATATTTTAGAATGAACAGGCACAATTTGCCAAAAAACCCATAGATTCCTTTCACGGATAGCCTTGAAAATGACAGAAGGTGAAAAGGGGGATAAAAAGAAGAGAGGAAGGAGAGAGAGGACAGACATACCCAAGCAAAACGGCCAGAAACAGATGAATGGGGGTTCTGGTGCATACCTTGGGGGTGCACGAGAAGATTCTGGTTTGGGTTCTTCTGCCTCATGTGTCTCAGAGTGTTGCTGAGAAAAAGACGGGGGACGTTGTTGCTTCTGCTCATCTGAAGACTTTAGCTGCATGGCTGAAGCATGGAAGGCACGTGACACCACGGAAGACTGGCAACGGGACACTGAAACAAAAACTGGTCTGGTCAGTCAGGGACACTTACCAGAGAAGACTCTTTGAAACCCAGAATGGTGTGAGGGATGGGGGAGAGGAAAAGCAGGGCTGAGGGGCACCTGGGTGGCTCAGTCGGTTAAGCGTCTGCCTTCGGCTCAGGTCATGATCCCAGGGTCCTGGGATCGAGTTCCGCATCAGGCTCCCTGCTCCCTGGGAGCCTGCTTCTCTCTGTCTCTCATGAATAAATAAATACAATCTTTAAAAAAAAAAAAGTGAAAGTGACCTGAAAATGTTACATATTTATATCATAGCAAGAGCACTGGATTAGAAATTAGAAGGTCCAAGTACTGACTCCCATAGTGTTTATATGGTGTCTTCAGATGGGTCATGCAGGGCTCGAACTCACGACCCTGAGATCAAGACCTGGGCTGAGGGCACCTGGGTGGCTCAGTCGGTTAAGTGTCTGCCTTCGGCTCAGGTCATGATCCCAGGGTCCTGGGATTGAGTGCCACATCGGGCTCTCTGCTCAGCGGGGAGTCTGATTCTCCCTCTCACTCTCCCTCTGTGTTCTCCCTCTCTCTTTCTCAAATAAATAAATAAAACCTTAAGAAAAAAAAAAGACCTGAGCTGAGATGGAGTTGGATGCTTAACCGACTGAGCCACCCAGGTGCCCCTACTATTAAAAAATTCATACAAGTTGAAAGAACTACGGCATGAACACGTTTATCTACCACCTAGGTTCTACAGATCTATCACACTCTTCATTCATCAGTCCAGCTTATTTTTGATGCATTTGTTGCAGCCCTCAGTATTCTTCCCCTCTATACATTCTGGCATACCATTAACTAGAGTTCAATATTTATTTACTGTTCTTTTATTGAGGTGACAGTTATATACAATGAAATGCACAAATCTTAACTGTACCAATTCTGAGATTTGACAAAGGTATACACTTGCATAATCTGAACCCCTATCTAGAGAATATTATCACCCCAGCAAGTTCCCTCAAGCTCTTTCCCAGTCACTCCCTACTTACACTGTTCTGAAATTTTCACCCTAGTTTAACCTGTCCTAGAATTTCATCTAAATACAATCATACAGTATATCCTTTTTGTGTAAAACTTTTTTGTGCACAGTTTTTTTTAGATGGATTAGTTTTGTGGAAATTGTTTTTTATTGCTGAGTAATATTCCATTAAGAAACACTATTCTGTTGAACGCCTGGGTTGTTTCAGCCTTGTCTATCATGAATAAAGTTGCTATAAATATACTTCTGAAAACCTTTTGGTGGACATATGCTTTCATTTCTCTTGGGTAAATACCTAGGAGTGGCTTTGCTGGGTCACAGGCATTACTTTAACTAAACATATGTAGTTTGGAGTTTTGTATAAAAACAACAAAAGGACACTCATTTTTTTTTTTAATCTATGGACTAACTCAGGGAACAATGATCTTAAAAGAAATGCAGAACAGTATGTGTAAAAATATCAATATTTTACTATTTGTAAAAAAAAAAAAAAAGGAATACTCATAAAACTTTGAAATGGGAGAGGTCCCAAAGCACAACTGTGGAACCACGAAGGTATGCAAAAGATTTCTGATGAAATACAGGAAATTATTTCATTAATTATATATTTATGTTAATGCGTCAATGTGTTCATTCTGGTGACACTGGTTTATCCATTTACAGTAGCAACATAAAGTAACCTCTTCTAAAGTAGACATCTCTAGTTTTAAGAACTCGGATGTACAAACGAAGATACAGACTCTGTTGTGGGAATAATCATTGAATTACTGAAGTGGTGAGGAAATAACCGATTTAGGAAACAATGGACTAGGAGCTTGCAGCTGTTTCCAACTCCGTCCCCCGAGTCGCCCTGCCCAGGGACTTGGCAACAGAGTTATTAAAAGACTGGGTCCAGGTCTACCAGTCTGCAACTGCCCAGCTGTGTGACCTTGGGCGCACACAGCCCTCTCTGCGGCTTTGTTAACTTCGCTAAATGGGAGTGGCAGACCCTGCTCCGCTACCCTTTGCCCCTCACAGCTCGAGAATGGGGGCAGAATCAGCCGGGCGGCCCCTTCGAGTCTAAGACGCCGGCGGCTCCGCGCCGATGCCCTTCACGTCACCTTGCCCGCGGGCCGCCACGACGACCTCTTCCGCCCCGCACCCAGCCCAGTCGGCTTCGTGCCCCCCCTTCCCCTCCCCGCTCCCCGGCTCGGCTGCCCCCTCACCGGGCAGGCACCGTAGCTGCAGGAGCCTCCAGCCCACCCGGCCGAGCGCGCCGGACATCGCCGTCGCCGCCATCTTGGAAGCGGGCACGCCGCCGACTGTGACGCGACGGGCAGCCCCAGGGCCTCGGCAAGGCCACTTCCGCCCTGCCCGCGCTCCCGCAGCCTCCTCTTCTCGCGAGAGGCGCGAGGTGCGAAGCCGGCGGCGCCGGAGAAGCCGGGAGCGAGCCCTGGGAGGCAGGTGAGAGTTGTGTGCGTGCGGCCTAGGTGCCCGATCTCCCCAACCGTCCCACCCTTGTACCTAGAGCCTCTTGTTTTCTATTCCCAGCCCTGTCCCGCGGTGGGCACCGAACCGTGACCACCTCCCTGGGGAGCATGGCGGGCTTTTGCCTGGGGAAGCCTGTGTAGGGGACCGGCCGGCCCTGCGTGTCCAGGGCTCCTGGCGCTGTGGCTTCTTGCTCTTCCCGGGCTGCTTCGTCTCCCACGCTGCCGGAATCGATCTGAAGCCCTGGAGACGGCGCGCTGAGGGGTTAGAGAGCCTTGGTGACCGGGGTCTAAGATCCGCTTCTGCTAATAGCCAGCCGTTGTGACCTTGGGCCTCAGTCCCTTGTCTCAAACACTGGGGGGAGCTGAAGTCTCGGTCTTTGGGGGTACCTGAACCCCCAGGTTGTAATTTTGAGCCAGTGACTTGCCAGAACCTCCAAAGTGTGGAGTTGGTGTTGTTAAATAACATTTAACCGGGTAACTTTTAAAGTTCTAGTTGGCATTATTGAACTATTCATGAATTGGGCAGCATCCCATCTAAGTAGAGAGGAGGTCCAAAGAGCTACAGTGAAAAGAGTTTTTTTTTTTTTAAAGGCAGAGAGGGGGTGAGACAGGGAAGTCGTAAGGGGAGAAAAGGATTATTTCAGGCAAGGTCACCTTCTTTTGGGGGACAGATGGGGTCTGTTAGGCAGATTACCTTACTAATGCTGACCAGAAAATTCCAGACTGACCCCTTAAGATTAAATTCCTGGAGAAGGTTGAAACTGCAGTGAGGTTAGGTATTAGTTTCTGTTTGGTGATGATGTGGGCTTAGCACAAGTGACTCCATTTTGGGCCTGTTTGCTTCTTTTAATAGTTTAATTGAAAATATCCCGAACTTGCCAGATCAAAAGAACCATCTAGGATTTGTAGGTGATTTGTAGGATCTGAAGTTGGAGAAAGGCTGGTGTTCATTCTGACATTGAGTGCTAATCTCTGAGTGACTCAGGGAGGTCATGGACTAGGAACTAAACTGAAGTGTACAGGCAGAGTGCCTCACTGTGATATCTGTCATCAGGGAAGACTTCCTATTAATAGGGAGAACTAAATGATATGGGGATTAGGGATAACTGATGGCAGGAGCTAAGCATGTCATTCCATAAATTTTGTGTTTGCAGTTAGACCCTTGCCTTTGTATCTGTTTTGCACAACCCTTATCAACTCTAGCCTTTTCAAAACATCTTGCCCTCTCTCCTAAGCCAAAATTACTCCCCAAATGTTAAAATTCCAGATCCACATCTCTGGATTTCATTAAAACACTACTGATCTGTCCATGAGGTTTTGTTTTCTGAGTTCTGTCCACCCATCTTCAAATGAGCCTTTTGTGTGGAAATTCTAGCTCTGGGGTATCCTTCCTGAAACTCTTAATTCTTGACACACACACCTAATTGCCTGGAGACAGTCTTCCCTTTCTTTTCCTTCGAGTTTCTTGTTTCCTTGTTGATTATCACCTTTTTTCCTATGTGTGCGTGTGTGCTTGCTTCAGTCAGTTCATTACATTTAAAATTTTCCTTTCTGATAAGGGTCAGTATTCTCAGAATTTTTTTATGCACCTGACTCAAAAAGATTTGATCCTTGGTTTGAACTGATAACCAAACTTCAGTCTTATTTTTTTATTTTATTTTTTTAGTTTTGGCCCCCTTCATCCTTAAGAGGAGCCAAATGCCTCAAGATTTGATGCTTATTGGATACCTTTGAAATAAACAAGTGCATCTCCAGAAGATATTTGCAGACCTCCGCTTTCCCATGCGCGCGTGTATATAGCAGTGAGCGCCGGCGAGGTGGTTAACAAACAAGGCCCATGACGTGACAATGACTTCTTCAATCCCACCTCTTTTTAGATATGAAACTAGGCCCTGAGTCACACTTCTGAGTATGTCAGCTCAGGTGCCAGACATTTTTTTCCTTCTAGTTTTTTAAAAAGACAGATTGCCAACAACATAAAACTCTGACGATGAACAGTATCATCCTTTGGCTTTTAGATACCTAGAAGAATGTTGTCTCCTGTTTTATTTGGAAAATGCTGACCAAGAGTAGTGGCTATGTCTGTGTTTTGAGGGTTAATGTTTAATAAGTGCATTTTATGAGCTCCCTCTTGCCGTAGAAGATTAGTTTGGGAGGGGTATGGAACGCAAGGCATCTTACATTCTTCTAATGTACTGACACAGTCCCACGGGAGCAGTGTCTACGATGTCATAAAGTGCAGCTCTTATACTGTGTAATTCTAACAATGAAAAGGAAGCTTCACATCTCTCCCTAGGGAGTCCTCAGCAGGCATGGCTGAGAAGAAAGAACATGTTGTATAGGGACTCTTTGAAGCAAAGGCAAATAAACTGGCCACCAAGAACTAAGAGTTCCTTTAGAACATTATTTCGTTGAGCACTGTGTGCCAGGCCCTGCTGAGTGCTTTGCATATTTTTATCTCCTCATTTACTTTTTACAGCAGCCTGGCAAAACATTATTATTCCTACTTCATTGATAAGAGAAGAGAGAGGCTTATAACTGACCCGTGGTCATGGAGCTCCTAAGTAGACAATCCAGTGGTAGATGGAACCCTAGTTCATCTGTGCTCGTTAAAACTGCCTCCATTAAGGTGGCCAGAAAGGTCTAGACACCTGGCATTTTTCTCTGGCTAACAAGTAACCTTTTGCTCCTCCTTTCTTTCATGATGGTTTTTCTGTGAGTGTGGTGCAAGGTTGTAGTTGGTGGTGGTGGGCAGGGAGCTTGTCCCTTTCTGTTGTCCCAGGGGAGAACCTGTGCCAATATTCTAGAAACAGGTCCTTTATTTTTTATAACTTAATGCCCAGCAATCCATATTCCTGTCTTCCCTGACTGGTTCTTAAATGGGACATTGATCCCAAGTTGCTTACCTTAAAGATTTGCGGGAGTTCTTCCTCAACATCATACGAGAGTTAAAAGCTTAAAAGTTTCAGTTCTTGATTGTGTGCTTTTTAAGGCTTTAAAAACAATGCAGTGACTAAGGAATCTTGCTTATCTGATAACACTTGGTATCCTTTCCCTGGGGCTTGCAGTCAGGTCACGATAATAAAGAGTGGGCATTCCACATGGAAGCAAGTAGATAGGGTGCCTGGTTAAGCGTCTGCCTTCAGTTCGGGTCCTGATCCCAGGGTCCTGGGATCGAGTCCTATGTCGGGCTCCCCTCTGCCTCTCGCTCTCTGTCTCTCATGAATAAATAAATAATAAAATCTTAAAAAAAAAAAAAGCAAATAGATAAAAGGCATGATTGAAGCAAAAATGCGGAGGTTTTTCATAGAACAAGGAAGGATTCACTTTGGAGAGGTGGGAGGTACAGATGGAGCAGATTTTGGAGGACCTGATTCCAGAAGAATGAGCTTTGGTTTCTCTCTAGAAAGGACGTGTCTTTAGGAACTGGATGACAGAATCAAAGTACTGTGGTATTTAAGGATGGCTGGCTAACTTGGCCACGTTTTGTAGACAGAGGAGCCAGTCATTTGAAGTGAATATTTTTGAAGAAGGAAGGGGGTAACAGACGTGGCTTAAATTCAGTCCCAGAGTGTCTGTGGTGGCATCCTTGTGACCGAGTTAGCAACTTCTGCAGAAGAAAGAAGTGTTCAGCACGAGACTGAGCCATGCTTGACTCGTCTACCGTGGCTTCTGCTGTTATACCATTTATTAGAGCTATTTTAAGTTGGGAACTTGATGGCATTAATGTTGAAGAAAGAAAGGAAGAACTAAGTAGAATGCTATTGCCTGACCTAATTGCATCATGAGCACATTCTATACTCTTCCCTGTATCAAGTGGAAGAGAAAGTTGACCCATGGTGGTGGCAGTGGGCGGGGGATCTCCAGAGGTTAAAAGCATGGGCTTTACAGCCCCATGGATTTGGACTCAAATTCCAGGTCTTGCTTTATCCCACATTTACTAGTTGTGTGACCCGGCAAAGTCAATGGCTTCCATTTTATGTCTGTAAAATGGGAATAATACCGAGTTTAAGGTTGTGCCAAGGTTCAGCTGGGATAATGTATGCAAGGTGCTTTGAACAGCCTGGGTAATAGTAAATGTGACAGAAAGTCAGGTAGGGACTATTGATCGTTGCAGATTCAATGGGACTGAGTTTTCATATTTTGCTGAAAGGGAAAATATTATTCAATTGGCCAAATTTAAATATGTTGTCTCTTTTTTGAAAAAACATTAAGCTGGTGGTAACGTTATGTCTGCCAATTTATTTGCCTTCTTTGCTGAGTCATACTTTTGCCTAATTAATGTCCTGTGTGTTTTATATTGTGCTCAAGCTGAGTTGTCCCAAATCAAAGCAGAAATAATCTTTGTGCCTTCAACCTCCTTACTTGACTGCCAAGTCCGGATTCTCATCAAGGAAGCAGCCTGCCTCGTTTGGGAATGTTGGGGTTATAAATCCTTGAGATAATAATGGGTTCATTATTTTAGTCTCTCTAGTGTCTACAGGAAGATGTTCTAATGTGGTCAGCATGCCGTGGTGGAAGGTTGGAATTAGGTGGTGATTCTAATCGAATTTGCTGGTACCTCAGGGATTGAATTGTGCTTTTGTCTCTGCTCAGTCCTACTCTCCTCTGGCCCGTAGGTTTTAGGTCCATCAGCACGGCAGGAATGGCAGATTATGGGATCTCAGCTGGCCAGTTTGTGGCCGTGGTCTGGGATAAGTCATCCCCCGTGGAGGCTCTGAAAGATCTGGTGGATAAGCTTCAAACGTTAACCGGCAATGAGGGCCAAGTGTCTGTGGAAAACATCAACCAGCTGTTGCAATGTAAGTACCTACCCACATTGTCTTTTTATACAGCTGCGGGGCTTGATGGGAGCGTAAGGACTGTGGTTCCTTGCTATCTGAATTTTTGTTCCAGGTGGCACATGGTGGCAGTGGGCGGTCACCCTGTTGTCTTTCAGTTGAGATATGGTAGACTTAAGAGTGTAGTTGAGTTATATAAGTATGTTGTTTCTTATTAGATAACCCAAATTTTTTTAAAGACTTTTTATTTGAAAGAGCAAAAGAGAGAGCACGAGCAGAGGGAGAAGCAGACTCCCCCCTGAGCAGGGAGCCCGATGTGGGGCTCGATCCCAGGACCCTGAGATCATGACCTGAGCCGAAGGCAGACACTTAACCGACTGAGCCACCCAGGAGCCCAGATATTCCACATTTTTTAAAAAAGCTTACTCTTTAGCCAGCTTCTTTTTTTGCTTCTTTTTGTGAACATGTAAAAGAATATTAAATTAATAGGGCCAAGGGAGAACAGCAGCTTCATTGCGCTCTTGCTAGTAATGGTGGTATAATAGCATTTGCTGGACAGGTAGCTGTTCATTAGGGGTCTTGCGGGGGCTGGGCAGATTGCCTTGGGGGCCCAGGTGATTGCTGATTAGACTCTTCCTTCTTTTCAGCTGCCCACAAAGAATCTAGCTTTGACATTATTTTGTCGGGTGTAATTCCTGGAAGTACCACTCTGCACAGCTCTGAGATTTTGGCTGAGATGGCCCGGATCCTGCGGCCTGGCGGAAGTCTTTTTCTGAGAGAGCCAGTAGAGACAGCTGTAGGTAAGGAAATCCTCATTTGGAAGACCAGAATTTAACAGCCTTGAATCTTTAGGTATGCAGGGGCTGTCATTCGGAGATCCTCCTTGGT